ATATATATATATATATATATATATATATATATATATATATATATATATTTATTTATATGGTGAGTGGAGATAATTAAGAAGGAACATATTAAAATAGTTGGATAACCAAGGCTTAGTAAGAAGATATCGAGTGGTGATAATAACTTTAATTTTGGAAAAAACTTTAGGCGTTCAGTGAAAGAAGGTACAAAATTTTGTTAATAATTTAATAATTGTAAGAATTTCAAATTTTAGATAGATTGTTTTAAATTGATATTGCTTATATTAGATAGATAGGTTTGTTTCATAATAGTTATAATAAAGATAATTTAAAAAAGTACTTACAAACTAATTCTTTGAGAACCGCGATAAAAACCCTATACTTACATATATCATTCAAATTTACTCATAACTCATACAACAACAACACATCATAACAATTTTGTCATCCAACGCGGGGCTCTCTTTATTTAAAAGAATTAGTTTGGGAAGATAAGTGCTCTCATATAATTAAATTAATTTTCAAAAAAAAAGAATTATAGATTTTACTTTTAATTAAATTTGAACAAGTAAAGTCTCAATATGTCTCAAGGAAAAAAAGGTACAAGAAACAAAAAGAATGAAGAAGATTTGGAAATAGAAACACAAGCTGTACAAGAGGAGATTTTAGTCCAAGTTCCACAAGATACAGTGGAAATGAATCAAGAAGGAGGAGAAAATGTCAATATGGCAGCTCTGATGGCAATAATGATGCAGATGAACAAGACAATGGAAGAGAACTCGAAAAAAATGGAACAGAAATTGGAAGAGAATTCAAAAAAAAATGGAAGAGAATTCTAAAGAAGTCAAAGAAGACATGAAAAAAATGAAACAGAAAATGGAAGAGAATTCGAAAAAAATGGAAGAGAATTATAAAAAATTAGAAAAGAAAATAGAAGATAATAATAATAAAATTATAAAACAAATAGAAAAACAAATAGATAAAAAACTTGAAGCTGCAGAGAAAAAAGTAGCAAATGAAATAAAAAATATAAGGCATGACTATAAGAAAAGGATAGAAAATGAGAGAACAGAAGTAAATAGGATTATTCAAGATAATATGATAGATATAGAACAGAAAATAGAGTTGCAGAAATGTAACTTAGAAGTCAAAATGAACGAAGACAGGAGAAACACAGAAGAAAAATTAGACGATATGCAACATAATATCCAAATAAATAGTAATCAAATAAGAAATGTGGAACAAAGAATAGATGATATTTCATAAATGAGAGACATAGGGAGACTTTACTTAAATTTAACAAATGACACTGGGATTAAATTCTCTGGTACTATCAAAAATTTGCATCCTAGAGTATACATAAATAGTTTAAAACATAAATTAAGATTAGTGAATATTATTAATGATATTAAAGATTATATTAGAATGACATTAAGTGATAATGCGGCAACTTGGTTTGCCAGTGTTGAGAATGATTTGGACAATTTTCAAACATTTAAAAATAAATTTTTAAATTATTATTGGGGTGAATTAGAGCAAAACTTTAGGCGTTCAGTGAAAGAAGGTACCAAATTTTGTTAATAATTTAATAATTGTAAGAATTTCAAATTTTAGATAGATTGTTTTAAATTAATATTGCTTATCTTAGATAGACAGGTTTGTTTCATAATAGTTTGCTGGATATTAAAGATAATTTAAAAAGTACTTACAAACTAATTCTTGGAGAACCCGATAAAAACCCTATACTTACATATATCATTCAAATTTACTCATAGCTCATACACATCAACAATATATACCTATATATATATATATATATATATATATATATATATATATATATATATATATTATAATATAATGAACGAGTCTTCATCCTAATTTACAACGTTTTCTGTTGAAGCACTCTTAATTTTTAGTTTTTAAATTTTTGACGCATCTTAGACTTCTTCTCTCCATGACTGTCCTGGTGTACCTCGTTTTCCTTTAGTGGACGAAGTCCGTTTTTCTATCTTTTTTGGCCATCCATTTTTAAGCATTTTCTGTAGTTGTTCATACAAGTTTTTTTTGTCTTAAATAGTATCTATTATGTCTAGGTCAATTTACATTTCTTTCAATGCAACTCAATACTTTCTATTATTGTTTTATAAATTTCCCTTTTATTTTGTTTTTGTTATTTTATTATTACACAATAGTCCGTGTAGCTGTCTAGTGGCTGATCTTGCTTGGTCAATCCTATATTGTATTTCTTCGTTACTCCCTGCTTTGGATGTTATTTGAAGGTTTCAGTTGCTTTTATAGTTCTCATTTCAATTTGTAGGCTTTCTGATTTTTTTCCTGTAAATACTCGTTTTTTTTTGTATATTAATTGAAAGATAATAGTACAAGTCATGGAGTTTAAATATCTAGGCATCACATTATCTAGCTACGGAAAGCTCGAAACTCAAGTGGAAGATCAAGTGAATAGAGCAAACAGAGCCGCAGAGTAAGGATGATAGAAACAGCAGAGATGAAAACACTTAGAAAAATTGATGGTAAGATTTATATTTTCTGGTAATACTGTTGGTACTAATTTTACTAGGCATCTATTTATCGTTATCCTGTCTACTACATCGAGAGGAGCCTCTCTTAATTTAATGATGAAATTTATATCTTGTTCTTATCTCATTTTTAGTTTTCTTCTTAGAATGTTTTTAATTATGTGTATTTTATGATTCGTTGTTTTCTTCAATAAAAACTGCTGGTTCTTTTCCTATTTATTTTTATAATCTTTTTAAGTATTGAGTTCAAGGTCCTTGTGTATTTCCTTATTTAAAATCTTTAAATAGTCTTTATCGAAAATAGAACAACTACGCATTCTAATATTGTAAGTACTTATATTGTTTGCAAATATTTTTATAGGTTCGAGTACACTTTCAAAGTCTAATGTCTTTATTATATTTTTGCCACAATTTATTTTAAAATTTAGAAAGTTTACCCCTCGTTAAGATAAACAAAATGCCACTCCTAGAATTATTCTATTTTTTTAAAATTTCTTTACGTTTTACATATTAAAAAAATTGGACTTTTAACGCAATTTTAACCCTCCACCTCCCTGTCCACAGCACCTACCCCAAAAACGTCATTTTATGTTTTTATTATTATTTTTTTTTTTTTTTTTCGGTGGGTTGCAAACAATTTAAAAATTTCAAAGAACTTACACGCATAATTAAGCCTTTTATAAAACTAAAAACTTTGGAGATGGCTGCAGATCTAGTTTTAGTTCTATTTTATGTAGAAATGAAATTTAAACTGATTTTTTAGTCATTTTTTTTTGTCAATTTTGCTCATTTTATAGACTTTAAAATATATTAAATAAAGGTTTTTTTGTTATTGGTTTTATCTGATTTCAAGTAATTGAGTATTATAGAATATTCAAATATTGGTCGAAACTCCATTAAAACTTATTATTATAAAACTTAAAACTTATAAAAAAAATATTATTTTTAAGGTTTTCAAGTATTTTAAATTTAGTAAAAACCCTTGGATAACCCTTAAAACCCAAGTTTTTCGCATAAACAATGGTTATATTTGCTTTTTTGAAGCCTAAAAATTGTCTTTTTTATATATTTTTTAAATACGAATTGAAGAACTAATAACTCAGACAGTATCGATCTCAAAAAATATTATTAACCTCGCAAAACTCTGAAAACAGTTTTATGGGGATGGAAAGGTGTTTTGCCCGATGTTTTATTGTCGTAAAGGACTTAGTTATTTTAAGTTATATATAACCTATAAAAACCTTGATTTCATATCCTCTGAAGTCAATAAAATGCGGAAAATCTGCATAAACCCCTAAAAAGTTTTTCGAATTTTTGAAGCATGCTAACGAAAAAATATGACAAAATCAGAAATTAAAAAAAAAATGGATTTTTAGTTTGTGTAAACTTAACCTACGGGCCTTTAAAAAATTTATAATTTTTGTAAATGGCTCAACTATGCATGTAAAATTTTTAAATTTTTAATTGATTGCAACCCACGTTTTGTAAAAACTTCAGAGTTTTTAAATTTGCAACGCACCGAACAAAAAAATTACAATTTTGTGGTTAGGGGGAAGGGGTGTCGAGCTAAAATAAAGTTTTATTTTTTATGCGCATAAAATGTCACAAATTTAAACACCCATTAAAGTTGTATTGATTTCAAAAAATATAATTAATTCCAAAAAACTCACAAAAACCGGTCAAAAACCTGAAAAAATATGTCTTTTGGGGTTTTAAGGTATTTCGCTAAATTTTTTAATGTCCAAAAGAACTGTTAGTTTAAATTATACATAATCTCTAAAACAACCAGCATTGATCTATTTTGAAGTCTCTAAAATGGGCAAAATCCCCCAAAAACCCTAAACAAACAAATATTTTTGGATTTTTGAAGGTGGCGCACTTGACAATTATATCGCAATTATAAATATAGTTTTTGATTTAGTACGCAAAATGAAAATAACCTGCATTACTAGCAGTCATCTACAAACAATATTTATACGATTATTTCGAAAAAAAAATTTTTTTTGGCTACGTTCACTCAACCTGTGAACGTATAAAAAATACGCAATGTTTGTAAAAGCCTTAACTATACGTGCGAATTTTTTGAAATTTTTGATATGATTGCAACCCACTTAAAACGATAAAAACGAAAAAATGACGGTTTAGCGGTAGGGGATGGCTAGTTAAAATTGGAATGAGACTTATTTTTTAATTATATAAAACGTAAACAAATAAAAAAAATTATTCTGGGAGTCAGAGTTATGATTATGAAGTTTGTAGTGTGAAGTAGTGATTATGAGTAAGAAAACTTATGATTTCTGAACTGATGATTAGCTCATCAGTTTTATTTATTTTCACTTTTATTTACACTTTGTACAATTATTATTACATTCTATAAAATATAATTTTCCAATGGTCATACAATTATACAGCTATATAAAATAACTTAGAATTTGTATTATTATTTCATCTATGATAAGTAAATTCAATTATATTTTTAGGTCGAATTTAGTGATTCGTACCTGGAAGAAGTAGAGAAGATAATTAAAGAATGTCAAGCTAACCCAGCTACCCGTGCTTCTGAAGAATGGTTAAAAACAGAAGATCTTGCAACTGCAGATCAATATGGAGGCCATATTTTATGTCGATTAACAAAGGTTGGAAGCTTAAAACCAAATGGAGATGTTGATAAGGAAGGAATGAGACGAGATATTTCGAAGGGTATAGATGATCCAAAGATAGTAGACCTAATTGTTGAAAAATGTGGACATCGCGTTTCCGGTTTGTCAGCAGAACAAAGTGCCGTGGAAAACTTTAGATGTGTTGTTTCAACAGTCCAAAGCCTTTAACGTTACTAAAATACTTAAAATCCGTAGATTGATTCTTGTTCACGAAAATATGTTGTGAATTTTTCGATAGATAAATAAAAATGTAAATATAGAATTGTATATTTGCAACGAAAGAATAGGATTGATATTACATTACTTATTTAAAGTCTTGTCCTACAACAAACATCCTCAACCTCAACCTTTCAAATGACTAATCTAGAATGGTAGACGGTGGGCTCATCATAAAGCCCATCTAAATAATTTTCAATGCCATATACAATTTACAAAATTTTAATAATTAATAAATTTTTAATTAATATAAAAAAGTCATAACTTTAAATTAAAAGTCATCAGAACAGTTATTGCAATCACCTATTTTTTCTTCTTCTACTTCTTCTTCTTATTCTTACATTAGGCATCAGGCTTGTTATTGTACGATCTTAAGGTTGTAGTTGTATTTATGATATTGACTGCCAGCTATCTTATATTTAAAGAATTTTTCTAGTATTCTGATGCCTATTGGTCTTTCACTATAAATTCGTGTAATCTGCTGGTTTATTTTACATCTTGTCTATCTTTTCTTTCGTACAATATAATGAATTTAACAGAGATCTGGTGTTTATTTGTTTATTTCGTATTATGTCTCTTTATTTTTTTTCAGCAACTGATATCAAGGCTCTCATAGTACTAAAGCAATATAAAAGACATATATTAAAAATACTAAGATAAATACAGTAATCCAAAACTATTAGAAGTATCAAAAATACCTTATGGTAGTAAATATTGTCTGTCAATAGGACAAAACTATGGCACACGTAATGGATAACATGCGTTTCTTTTTTCACTTTTGCTACAATTTATCTATTACATATTATCTATCGCTACACATTATCTATTTTCGTTGTTTGCAAAGCTGTGGCTATTGTCAAAAGCTGATATGTCAAAAATCACGGTTTTTAGCTTGGAGAATCATGATATGTGTTAAAGTTATATTTTTATATGCCAAATCTTGATTTAGCCTATACAATCTGATGAATATTTTAATTGTTGCCAAAAGTTAACACATCAAGTTCTGTCACCATCAGATTTAAAATGTGGACGAATTGTTTATACACGTGTTTTGGTTACCAGCTATTAGATAACATAACCTTTGGTTCTTTGGTTCTTTTAAGAAAACTATTAGTAAAAAGTATGTATCGTGGAAAGCTGTTAGTTGATATGGTTATTAGCAAAGATGAAAATTCGGCGGTTTTAGTAAATATCGAAGAAATAGTATTACACACTGAAAGTGAGGATTTAAAAAAAAAAACAGTGGGAAGTGACATAAGCGGATTGAAAAGGTGTTAAGTTGATGCCGAAATTAAAGAAATAAGTTTACCTTCTGGAACAACTTGTCGTTCAGAAGGAGTAGTCTCATATTTGGGTAGTGATATTTCAGATATAGATGAAAATTATATTCCTTTGGACACTTCATCCGACATAAGTGACAATGAGAGGCCAGGTTAATATCAAGAAATTTAATTTAAAAAATGTAAGCTAATAGCTACTACCAGTAGGGTAGACCGGGGACAATTAAAACAGGGTACAATTGAAACAGCCGCCATATTGGTAGTATTCCGTGATTAAAACCGCGCGCGCTTGTAGCAAACGCAGCGCCTCTAGGAGCCCGGTGTCTCTATCAGTCAGCCATTGATTGTCGTTTGCATTACATGCGTACATTCTCGTTAGCGTGATTTACCGCTACCGAAGTAAACTTTTGTACTGAACATCAAAAGGTGACGCAACATATCGGAACGTAAGTATGCAGCTTCGACTATTTTTGTAGTTAAATTGGCATCTCTTCTTTAGGGAGGCCAGCTTAAATTCTTACTATTGTCCTATAGTGAAAAGATACTTAAGTGTTTACGAAAAAATGTCTCGTGGGGACAATTGAAACAAATCGTATAGGGGACGATTGAAACATGTTTCAATTGTCCCCAGAGTAGTCTTTTATGTTATTTATTATTGTACGTTGTAGTAGAGTATCCAGTGGTTAACACTTTAGGGACGTTAATAATACCAACCTCAAATTTATGTGAGATAACGTAGATTAAATTGTAGAAAAAATTTGGAAAAATTGTCAACGTAGTTTGTGCACGAGCCCTATTAACTGTTTGGTTTGTTTTAGGATGCCACGAGTACGAGTGAGAAAAACGGAAAGGGGTTTAAAACCCGTTTTGGTTTATGAAGAAGCCTATAAAGAGGTTACTGAAAATAACACGTCCATAAGATCAGCTGCAGCTAAATTTGATCTACACCACGTGTCATTAAGTAGATTTATCAAAAAAAAAAAAGAAAAAAGCAATTAAGCAAGGATTCGTTACTCCAGTCACAATGGGTTATCATTTCGTGAGCCGAGTATTTGACATAGACCAGGAAAAAAGCATTGCTGGATACATAATCAAAGCTGCACATATATTTTACGGGTTACCGCCTAAAGAAATTCGGAAATTGGCCTTTTAATTGGCCGTGAAATATTCGTTGAACATGCCTGATACCTGGAGACAAAATGCTATGGCAAGAGAAGATTGGTTCTCTGGATTTATGAAACGCAATCCAGAACTTTCAGTTCGCTGCGCTCAAGCCACAAGTATTTCCAGAGCAACCAGTTTCAATGTAACGAACGTAAAACTTTTTTATGATAACCTGGCTAATCTAATGAATAAGTACAAATTTGAACCAAAAGATGTATCTAATATTGATGAAACGGGGGTAACAACGGTTCAAAAACCTAGTAAAGTTGTTGCCGAAAAGGGGACAAGACAGGTGGGAGCACTTACATCCGGAGAGAGGGGAACATTGGTGACCATAGCTTTGGCCGTCAATGCTATCTGTAACAGTATCGCCCATTTTTATTTTTCCACGAAAAAGATACCAGGATCACTTAGTCCTTGACGGTCCAGTGGGGTGTATTGGAGCGGGAAACGCGAGCGGGTGGATGCAAGAGGAAGAGTTCTTGGTATACCTTAACCATTTTCAAAAGAATACTAACGCTTCAACCGAAAATAAAGTATTGCTTTTACTTGATAACCACCAGTAGCACATAAGTATACGCTGCTTAGATTTCTGTCAAGCAAATGGCATTGTCGTCTTGTCATTTCCTCCGCACTGTTCGCATAAGTTGCAACCTCTGGATCGTTCTATCTACGGTCCCTTCAAAAAGGCTTTCAATTCAAGTTACGACTCTTAGATGAGAAATAATCCAGGAAAAACGATGACAATTTACGACATACCCAGCATAGCTAAATTATCTCTACCGTTGGCCCTCACGAAATCAAATATTATAGTTGGATTTGCTTGCACAGGCATATATCCATTTAACAGAGACATATTTACGGAACTAGATTTTGCACCTTCATATGTCACGGATAGACCAGCTCTTAATAACACGATACCATATGCCACTGACGTTCTTTAAGAAGCACCTAGTGAAGATCCTCTACATACTAAGAAAGCTGATATCTTGCCAACATCACCATAAAATCACACACCGCCAGCGTCTGCAAGCACTTGCATTGCTCAAGCATCGCAGGTTGTATTTTCACCGGAAGCAGTTAGACCGTTGCCGAAAGCGCTCCCTAGAAAAACAATTGGCAAACGAAAAATCAGGAAGTCTGCAGTTTATACAGATACGCTGGAGAAAAATGCTATCCAAGAGAAATATGACGCAAAAAAGAAAAAACAGGTTAAGAAAAAAGTGACTGAGTTAAACGATGAATCAAATAAAACTTTTAGAAAATACAAGAAAAGCAAGCAATGCCAGAACAATCAAAAACAGAGTGATAGCGACGAAGAGGATGATTGCTATTGTCTGGTTTGCTTGGAAGCATATCGTAGTAGTCGCCCTGGAGAGAAATGGGTGCAGTACACTGAGTGTCGTCATTGGTCCCATGAAGAGTGTACTCGCCAAGAAGAACTATACGTATGCCACAATTGCCTTTCAGAATAAAAAATATTTTATATTATGTATGTTTTTCACTAGAATAAACACTATTTTTCTATGTCTTAGTGCAGTTTCAATTGTCCCAGGTATCTGTTCATTCGTCCCTGCCACGGGGACAATTGAAACAACTTGACAAGTTTTTTTTAATATCTTATTAATAACATTATATAGACAAAATATAATGATATATATGAAAACACAATAGGATACGCTTTTTATAACTAATTTCGTAATTTAGAAATTTGCGATAGATGCGGAGAAGAAAAATCAAAATGCAGAAATGTTTCAATTGTCCCCGGTGTACCCTAATAATATGTGTGACAAAGTAAGTAATAATAATTTTACAAATAAAAGTGATGATAGCAAAGGCCAAATAAATAACTCTAATGTTCAACCTAAAAAACAAAGATAGGGAAAGAGTGGGCATAGTGGCCGCTGCAGGCATAGTGGTCACTTTTTGTTACTGCACAGTAAACTGTTGATACACAGCTACGGGCCAGTCAACTCTTTTATTTGTACGTCATCTTAGATGTGTTAAAGGTGTAAGCTGTTCTGATCATGTGTTTAAAAGTTATTGAAAATTTTCTTATTTTTCAACATCCTGATATAATAAGTACCTGATGGTAATTGTATTTAATTAATTATTACAACCAAACTTTTATTCATAATACAGGCAAATGATAGTAACGTCCTAAAAGAGGTGTATTTAGGCTACAAAACGATGTGTCTGTGTAACGTCTTGCTCTATTAGTTTAGCCAGTAGTGTGGTATTTATATAATAGTAGCAAAGAGAGCAAAGTAGCCACATCTGGGGCCACTATCCCCCACATAAAGTAAAATATATTTTCATTAAAAAATAATAGTAGGGTAAAACGCCAGTTATTAAACACGAGACAGTTATTGGACATTACAGTGTTAACTTACGATTATAAGATTTCTGCAAGTGCTAACAAGAGTATATTTCACTAGGTGGCACTACTCCTTTCTATATTACCTACATTCTTATGTCTATGTTCTGCCTTTAACGGGTTCTGTGATTTTGGCGGTAAATATTTTTAGGTTATGTGAGTGAAGTGACATTTAAGCATTGTGTTAAGCAGGGGGGGGGTTA